TTCCCTTCCCTTCCCTTCCCTTCCCTTCCCTTCCCCTCCCTTCCCTTCCCTTCCCTTCCCTATTTCTTTCTTTGTACTTTTTCTTCACTTGTTACTTTCCTTTCCTTATTTTTCTCTTTCAAAATTTGTATTGTTTTTATTCTTTTAATTTTTTAAAATAAAAGCTATATCCCAACCCCCCCACAATTAATTGATCTCCCAAAACAGGCTGAGCCACCCCCAGAACACAGTTGATAGTCATTTAACTTAGCTTGCTCTGTAAGTATAGCTACTAGGTTTATAAGTGATCTAGTTAACCACGTTTTGTGAACACAAGCGCTGAGCCTTGTTCCACCACCTTCAGTTCTTTGAAAGTGTCCTGCACTCTCAGATGACCCCACTTTTTGTCCCTAGCTGCCTTTTTGTTCCCAGGACTGTTTTCAAAACCAGACCTATTTTTTAATAGCCTTTGATGCAATCCTGTAATCCTTTACCCTAATGAAGTCCAAGCATGAATCAGAGAAAAAAGTGTACCTTTTCTGTCATCGTTTTTGTTGTTGTTGTTGTGGTATTGCAGTTTTTCCTTTCCATTGGTTTTAGAGTATCAGCTTTGCAGACTTAGTACACTGTAAAGCATCATTCACATTGGGGATGGGAAATCTGAGTCTCCCCAAACGTTTCTAAACTCTACAACTACCCACAACCCCAGTGAGTGTAGCCAGTGATGAAGGGTTGGATCTTGGTGTTCAGACAGCAATATTTGGAGGACCCAAAGTTCTTTATTCTTAATATATATCTTTGTTGCTATGTTAATATTACTAGCATGGCTAAAAAAAGATTTTTATCCTCTTGCTCGCCTCCGCGGAGTATCAAGAGCCTTCTCCCCACCCGCTTCCTTTCTTGCTGCATCTCATGATCCTCCCTACCAGATACCCACCCGCTCCTGCAGGCTGACACTTCCTGAGCTAGACCAAAAAGGGGGAACTGACTGCTATTGTGGCCATAAAAAGCTGTGTGCGTGTGCGTGCATGGGAGTGTGTCTTTCTCTGTGTGTGTACACATACACAGATGCATGCATGTATATTACATACCTAATAAATTCAGGAGGATTGATAGGTCACATTAAAAAAACACCCTGGGAGTCCTAAACTGGCATAAATTCAGCTTTTTCTGCCAGCTGCTCTCCTCTCATCTTGCATAGGGTTCCCTCTAAGCTCCAATCTAGTCCCAGTTGTGCCTCTTCTTGACCTGGTTCTGGTTATTTGTGACGCAGTGCCCAACAGATCTTGGAAATGGGGGTGGGGAGGTGTTCAAGGCAGCTAAGGGCAGGAGCAGGCCTTTACAGAAGAGAGTCTTGAATTCAGGGTAGAGGGGAAGTGTGAGAAAGGGATCCGGGCTGCCTTAATTACATTAGGTGTACGTTGTGCAGAGGAATTACTTCGGTAAGCTTTCAAGATTCTATAACATTATCCTACTAGTGCTAAAGATCTTTCTAGAAATCCAAGGGGTGGTTTCCTGAGCTTCCAGCCTCGCAGGCTTGATCTTATTAAACAGCGACACTCGAAAAGGAAACACCACACAATGGCTAAAGAGGGTTAGGGTAAAATGGAATTTAGGCAGAGACGGGCGGCTGGCTCTCCCGCTGGACTGGTTTGATAGCGCCCAACGGCCGTTAACGTTCGCAGCTGATAGGATTTCTCTGCCCTTTTATATAGGCTGCCATCCGGAAGGAGCTGAACGAGTTCAAGAGCTCTGAGATGGAAGTGCACGAAGAGAGCAAGCAGTTCACTCGGTAGGTTGAGAGAGGGTTGCTCACGTGGATTCCCTGCCCGTAGCAGGAGGGTCCGGTCCACGCCACACGATGTGCAGAGTTTAGCTTCTGACCTGCCGCTGCTCCCTTATATTTACGATGTTGTGCTGCAAGCTGAGCCTGCCGCAGGGCATGCCACACGGGTAGCTGCAATCAACCCGACCTAGTTTTTGCAGATTTATTTGGAAGTAGGCCGGGAAGATTGTTTTAAACTGTTGTTTTCGTCATGTGCACTTTGTGAATAGTCAGCGCCACCTAGCATTGAGAACCTCCCCTCTTGCAGGACACATAAACATAGAAGTTGATCTGAATGTTCCCATCCCCCAAATGCTCTCTGATTCTTTAAACCTGTCTTGCAGGTATCATCGACCCTGAGCTTTTTTTTGTTTAAAAATCAACAACAACAAGAAGCACGACCAGTACGCTGGAGGAGAAGAGGACTAGCGGTGTTTGTCATTTCCTTTCTCACAAGTTGAAGAGGAATCTTGAGGCTTGTTTGAGATTAGCCTTCATTCACATATCCAGAAGGAAAGCTTCTCTTCGTCAGGAAATGGGCAAGCGATAGGAAGGCCCTTGTCCATAAGTTAGCATTTCATTGAAAGGAATTTGTCTCAAGTGCCATGAGATCACAGTGGGGCAAGCAACAAACAAAAGCATTATACCTCAGATATATGGCAATACAAATGGGTAATGCCCCTCGGTTCCTTATCTTCTGCCTAATTCTGAACCCTTTAATACCCCTTTCTCAAAGAAAAGGGAGACTACCAGAGCAGACTTCGGAGCTAATGAGTGAGAAGTGTGCACGTACCTATAGTTTGCTGTATCCAGAAGAAACTTTAACTGACACATTACTGGAGATTTGGGGAAGGTGCTTATGGGTTTTTTTTGGGGAGTTACTAATTTGCAGAATCACTACTGACCAATCGTACCTTGTCTAGCAGACGAATTGTTGAGCTGTAACATGGCACATGCTGCATCTTGAGGGAAAAAAAAGTTTTAACATTTTTTATAATGGACAGCAAGAAGCTCCCTTCATCACTCAAATTTGCTATAAAGCTAAGAGACCTAATTTTCTGTGGGGAGGGGATGCACCTTTAAGCCTGTTTAACAGGAACTGCAAAGCCTGAAATGAGTTGCCTTCAAGAAGCAGGTGACGTGGAATATACTGTATTTTTTAAAATTGTGACTTCTTTTTTTAAAGCCGCTTCCTAAAACTAGAGTGGAACTTGCCTTTTCTTAGATTTGTAGCAGAACATACTGAAATGTAATAATTTGAAAAGGGCTTAAACCCAACTCGTAAGGAAAGGAAAGGAAAAGAAAAGAAAAGAAAAAAGAAAAGAAAAGATGGCATGGCATGGCATGGCATGGCATGGCATGGCATGGCATGAATAGATTTTATGGAATGGTTCTGAATGGTATCACATCTGAGATGCATGTTCTATGATGTTGGAGTGAGAAGATGGGGAAAAAATATGAAGGGGGGATTTGGACATGAATTAGATGTTGGTTCTGTGTTTGAGCATTGGTTTGGCAGCACATCTCTTCACACATCTGTAAAAGGTCACATGTGTAGAAGCTTGTAGATGCATGTAGGCTGAGGCTGATATGCTGTCTATTGCTCTGCTTCCCATCCCAGAAGAAGACCTTTATTCTGCTGCTACTTTTGCGATTACCAACCTTTCTGGGAGGAGGAGGACCAGATGCAAGAGGGCAGGGTTCAGATATCTTAAAACTGGTGTGCAGAAGAAGGTATTTCAGCAGCCACATCAGTTGGGTCCAATCTTCTTGAATAAAGCCCCTTAAATCAGTTAGCTCTGACTTCGGGGCTGTTGATTTCAGTGGTGATTAAGGGCAGCAAATGGCTTAGTCTGGATCCAACCTGTTCTTAACTTCTCACACAGACGAGGTAAACTTATGCATCCTGGAATTCATTCTCTCCAATAACTGGTCCTCCTGTTGGCGAGCCTAGGGGAACGCCTTCACGCTCCACACTCTCATTCCAGCCAATGCCAGTTGCCCTTCTGGTGTTCCTGTGAAGGGAGGAGAATGTGGCCTTGTCCTTGTAAGGAGCAGTTTTTCTTAACGATGCAAGGAGAAAAGCTTTTGGTGTGGATTGGGGGATAAGTGCCAGTGTACTCTTGATTTGAGCAGTTTTTTTCACGATGTATAAAATCTCCATTAAGGAAATCATTGTGTTGTCTTCCTATCAACAAGATTTTATGAAATAAATTTTTTTAGGAAAAAAAACCCTCCTTTTCGCTATGTTTCTTCCCACCACCATAATGGATTTGAATTTCGTATGAATATGTAAGGAGCTTCTGCTTCCAGAGTGAGAGTGATTCAGCATCTCTACAGGTAGCTAGGAAGTAGGAGCATGCGTCGTTCAACCACTTCTTTTATTGACATACCGTATTTGCAACCTCTGTTTCAAAATCTAAGGAGCTTTTCGTGTTCCCAATGATTTCAGTGTACTCTTTTTGCGTTCTTCAAAACCTCATTCGCTTAATGAAGTGCCCAGTGATTTAGGGTAGATGGTAACAAAACATTCTACATTTATTAATAGTTTAGCTGGCTTCTGCAGGCAAAGTTCCTGAAGTTATCAATAGTAGTTATTTCACTGAAGCTGTAAGTGAACTTCCACCAAATGCACATTCAAAGGATTGGGGGGGTGGGGGGACCCAGTGGGGTTGGTGCAAGGATCTCACTGATGTGGTTCATACACAGTGGTAAGACATGGTTTCCTTTGTTTTGGCATAGTTCATTGCACGGACTTCGTGGTGTATTGCTCTAAATCCGTGTTTCTCCACCTTGGCAACTTGAAGATGTGTGGACTTCAACTCCCAGAATTCCCAGCATTCCGTTTTCAATATGTTCAATATGTTGAAGCTGATCATTCAGTGCTAGTTTATCACTTACAATTGGTTTCTTTTCGAAGGAATGATGGCGAAAGCTTTAAAAAAAAAAGTTGCCACCAAAATTGTTCCCAAGGCGAATGTGATTACTGATCAGTCTTCAAATCTATAATGGCCACTAACAAGGCAGAATCGCTTTGAAACTTCAGGGTTTGGTCTAATCAGGCCAAGCAATCCGGTCCATTTTAATCTTAATCTTAAATTTTCCAGCCACCTCTAGGAACTGTAGTTCAATACAGGGCAAAGCTAGGTGGGGGGAAGCCTTATTTTTGAGGTTTGAAAAATAGGCACTTGCATTCTAAAACGATTAAGAAAAAGAATATTTTATTCTTTCTACAGTTCGGTAGAAGGTCTGAGGATATTTATGCTGGGAACTGAAAACGAGAAAAAAACCCTCCCTTGATGGGGAAGTTACTACTCGTTGGTCAATAGGGGGCGTCCTTGCAGTCGAAGCGCCCCCGCCCTGTTTTCTCTTGAAATCTCGTTCCGCGTCCGAGATTTTGGGCTCATCCCGCCTGGGCTGAGGCGAGCTCGCCCGCCGCTGCTACACGCATGTGTGCCGTTGCCCAAAGAGATGTCCTTTGTAGTAAAACGTGCCGCTTCCAATTGCAAGCGGTGGCATTTTCCGCCTGGAAAGTAATAAAGCAGTGAACCAAGACTGTCCCGCACTCTGAGGTGTCTCATAGGAAGCGGAAGCGAAGGTCGCGTGAAACAGCCCAACCGCATCTCATTGGTTTTCGTTCGGCCACCTTCAACAGGAACTGTTCTGCGCATGCGGTATTTGCGTTTCCCGGCATCCTCAACGGCCTATAAATAAAACCGCCGGTGATTCTTCGACCTTTCTTTAGCGCGTGGCGAAGAGAGGTGAGTGGGCTGCGAGGCGGGGAAGGTGGTAGCTTTTGCTCAACGCGGTGGCTGCAATCTCATGGCTTATGGTATTTTAATAAAGCTCATTAAAGGGTAGGTAGGATTGCACATCCCGATTTATTTATTAACTGTGTGTCGCTCGACCCATAGCGACTCTGGACGGTTTTTGCCCAGCTGTAAGCAGTGAGCATTAAGATATTCGTTCATCAGCACTAGGAAGTCCAGTGGCCGTTAGAAATTCCACAAATTAAAGAAGGCTTGACGTTGTAGGGGTTTAGAGTAGCGGCAGTTAGAAATGCTCTATTTTTATTCAGGTAGCTTTATGTAGTGTTTCGAAAAAGGGCGAAGTAAATCTTACACAGATGTTTAATTAAACACTGAAGCCTGTGTCCGCCCATCCCCGAAATATTTTGAAAAAGATATTTTTTCCCTTGAGTTTTAACATACGGAAGTAATGCAAAAGCGATGATTAAGTCTGTTGAGCTTCTATTTATTTATTTATTTATTTGAATTTATTAGCCGCGTACATTGAAGACTTTAGACCCAGAAAGGTCTTTGCCAAAATGCTTGGAAAGCATTGTGGCTTCTTTATAAGGGAATAAAAGAATTATGTGGAGAATTATTTGAAATAAAATCGAGTTAGGAGCAGGGAAGGTTCCTTTTTATTTATTTTATTAAGACTGCAGTAATCTACCTAATCAATTATTGGGGCTTTAAGAAAGAAGTTGGGTTACTTTCTCAAACTATTATATGTGCCTTCTTGATTATTTTTTCTTATCCTGAAAGTTAACTTAAAGTTGAGCTTTAATGCACTCAAAGGTTGCGATGGTAGAACATTTATTACAGTGGGGCAAAAAAGTATTTAGTCACCCACCAATTGTGCCTGGTGGCATAGTGTGTTACTGATGGTAGCCTTTGTTACTTTGGTCCCAGCCTTATATGTCTTCCATTTTCTAATTATTGCTCCCACAGTTGATTTCTTCACACCAAGCTGCTTGCCTATTGCAGATTCAGTCTTCCCAGCCTGGTGCAGGCCTGGTGGCATAGTGTGTTACTGATGGTAGCCTTTGTTACTTTGGTCCCAGCCTTATATGTCTTCCATTTTCTAATTATTGCTCCCACAGTTGATTTCTTCACACCAAGCTGCTTGCCTATTGCAGATTCAGTCTTCCCAGCCTGGTGCAGGCCTGGTGGCATAGTGTGTTACTGATGGTAGCCTTTGTTACTTTGGTCCCAGCCTTATATGTCTTCCATTTTCTAATTATTGCTCCCACAGTTGATTTCTTCACACCAAGCTGCTTGCCTATTGCAGATTCAGTCTTCCCAGCCTGGTGCAGGCCTGGTGGCATAGTGTGTTACTGATGGTAGCCTTTGTTACTTTGGTCCCAGCCTTATATGTCTTCCATTTTCTAATTATTGCTCCCACAGTTGATTTCTTCACACCAAGCTGCTTGCCTATTGCAGATTCAGTCTTCCCAGCCTGGTGCAGGCCTGGTGGCATAGTGTGTTACTGATGGTAGCCTTTGTTACTTTGGTCCCAGCCTTATATGTCTTCCATTTTCTAATTATTGCTCCCACAGTTGATTTCTTCACACCAAGCTGCTTGCCTATTGCAGATTCAGTCTTCCCAGCCTGGTGCAGGCCTGGTGGCATAGTGTGTTACTGATGGTAGCCTTTGTTACTTTGGTCCCAGCCTTATATGTCTTCCATTTTCTAATTATTGCTCCCACAGTTGATTTCTTCACACCAAGCTGCTTGCCTATTGCAGATTCAGTCTTCCCAGCCTGGTGCAGGCCTGGTGGCATAGTGTGTTACTGATGGTAGCCTTTGTTACTTTGGTCCCAGCACTTGCACAATTGGTGGCTGACTAAATACTTTTTTGCCCCATTGTATGTGTATGGCTGGATCATGCATCATGTTCATTTGTGACTTGTTGAGCCATTGTTTACCGAATCAACTATAATTGTCTCTAGATTTGCACAATTTAAGCATAAACTATAGCTCAGAAAGAACTGACTGCAGTCTGTATTCATGCTATGAACAAACGAATCATGGCTTGCTATGGTTTACAGACTCAGTTCTGGTGTGCCACATGCGTTACTTAGTGCCAATGCCCGTTGCATTCATTTCTAACATAATAGTTTAATTGCAGGCAAGACCCTTGTTGGTTTCTGTTTGATGCTGCTAAAAATGCTGTTTAATTCAGAGATGAACACTTTGGAACATCAAGGTATTGATGAAATTTTGCTCTGTTTTTATGTACTTTTCAAGTTTTGAAGGATAGTTGTTTAAAACTCTGCTCTAGCCTGCAACTCTAAAGATTGTGCTTATTGTTTTAAAGAAAGCCTAAGTGCTCAGAATTCATGTACTTATGCCTAAATACTTAAGCAGCAGTACGGTTTCAATCAGCTGATGTAGGCATTGGAAGAAGGCATTTGGTTGGCCCTTATGGATGAAGATGTTCTTCATCTTCCATCCTCTCTGATTGTAGTTCTGTCTTTACTTTAAAAAGTATCCTAGCCATGTTAGTCCATAAAAATGTGTAGTAAGGCAGTATTTTATTAAAGTTGTCTAAAAAAACCAGGAAAAATATGAAAATTTTCAAGTTCTCCAGACTGCAAAGTTTCTTAAATTTATTTTATTTAAGATAAATAAGTATCTTACTAGTTTAGGAGCAAGGGCATTTCTTTTCTTGAATTAGTAATTGCCTGTAGTTCTAATTGAATTTATAAAAAGGGAGGGATGTGTTCAGCATAATTTGATCCAACAGGGATACCTGGAGAGGTTGCGCTCTCTCAGCTCTGTCCATGTGGCGTATGGGAGCGTAGGCCTTCTGCCCTGTGACGTACAGTCCCCTTCCACGCTGTTGGAGAGCAAGTTGGACCTCCCTGGTCTGCATCCTGCATATTCCTACTGCTTCTCTGAGTCTTTGGACTGTGACAGAGGAGATAAACCATGCAGGAGACATACTTGATCAAGCAAAAATGTGTTGCATTTTCCAGGCAATCACAAGCATGTTTTCTGGTTATAGCACTTTTGGGGTGCTTGGAATTTTGGGTAGTGCATTGCTCTAATGTGGTTGGGGTAGGTACTTGGTGGGAATACCCTGATCCCTCAAAGGATGTGGTATCTAAGAAATTGGGGAAAATGCAGACCTGTTCCAGTTAAGTTTTTTCAGCCATTGGCAAGTAAATGTCCTTGAGTGGGAAAGCTGATGATGTAGCCCACTCTGCTTTCTTTTCCTTGTAGCCAGCCTTCTGCCTTGGCTGGATTCTGCTGCTGATGGAGCAACCCGTCCATCTCCTGACACTTGAGGAATAGTTGGCACTGCCACTCCTCTGACCGGTTTCAAATTGTGAGCAATGCTCGATGCTGTGGATAGAGTCTGGCTCAGAAGCATAAGGTATGGGCTTGCCTTGGGCTCTTCCAGCTCTACATGGATCGTGTGCTACCCCTTGGATGTATAGGTAACAAGCGTTAACAAGTTAACACCGTTGACATGGAGAACTTTTCAGCAAAAGTAGCTTAGGACTTCACTGTTTTTCTGGGTTTCCTAGGTCTCTAGCTGGACTGAAACGAGCACACCATTAATTGAAGCCTGTTCTGCCTTATTTATTTCAGTGTGTTGAGAGACTTAAACTAGGAACAAGCCTACAACAGCAGTGTAAAGGCATATGCTTGCATGGCTACATGCTGATCACTTAAAACCAAAGTAGAAATTGTGGGGATAAGATCTTTGGTGCTCTAGATTTCACTGAATCATCCCTGTCCATGGTGGTGGAAGCTGCTGAGAGTTCTGATGTAACGTAATCTGGATGGGCGCAAAAGCTTTCTTGCATTAGACTGTGTTACAAGTTCTATAATTGAAGTTGGTTTTGTTGGAAACCAAAAATCTCTTCATACCTATAATCATACACGGCACTTCCCAAAATGATGATTTCTAGAGAACCATCTGAAAAGGTAATGGCTGCAATTGGCAAGCGATTTTAGGTGAGAGATGGTGGCTTTTTAAATGATTGTTAGGGCCGCTATTTCTCACCAAGGGGGCTTTCGCTCTTTTCGTTATTATCTTGAGCTACAGTTGTCTGAAATGATGAGGGCTAGCTGCATTTTCAGAAATGCAGGAGTTTGTGGTTCACATAATGATCCAGCAGGGACACCTGGAGAGGTTGCACTCTCTCAGCTCTGTCCGTGTGGCGTATGGGAGTGTAGGCCTTTGGGCTCCGTGACATACAGTCCCCTTCCACGCTGCTGGAGAGCAAGTTGGACCTCCCCGGTCTGCATCCTGCATATTCCTACTGCTTCTCTGAGTCTTTGGACTGTGACAGGGGAGATAAACCATGCAGGAGACATCTTTCTGCTCGCCTCCTTTTGTGCCTAGTCTTATTTCTGTATGTTCCAATGGAGCTTTCTGAAAATGGTGAGGAAGGAGGGGACCCACACTTGGCAAACCCGCCCAGGGTTGTAGCAAGAGCCACAGTTTGAGAAGGATGATGTTAATCTATTTTGTGTTTCCAAATCTGTATTTCAGCACACTTGAAAGCCCATCCTCCAGGATGGGAGTGGCAGCTTATTCCTGAAATGCGTGTGAGAAATATTCTGAAAAGCCCAAGGTATTTGTGAGTGTAATTTTTTCCCCCTGTTTCCTGTTTACATTCTATGTTTTGTCTTCTAACAGAGGCATTTAAAGAGGGTTTTGGTTTTCAGGAATGTCCACTAAAGGCTTTTTTTCCCTCTGCTTATGATCAGGCTGTAGTATATTGCTTGAGGGCCCCCTCCTGGAAAGGTGACAGCAGCCTTGGATATATTCACCCAACGGGGACACCTGGAGAGGTTGCGCTCTCTCAGCTCTGTCCGTGTGGCGTATGGGAGTGTAGGCCTTTGGGCTCCATGACATACAGTCCCTTTCCACGCTGTTGGAGAGCAAGTCGGACCTCCCCAGTCTGCATCCTGCATATTCCTACTGCTTCTCTGAGTCTTTGGACTGTGACAGAGGAGATAAACCATGCAGGAGACATTATTCTGCTCGCATCCTATCTTTTCTTAATGTAAGGGTATGTGTTCCTATTTCTCAGCTATGGGGTTTCTGGATTTTGAACCACAGATCCTGGTTCACAGTTCCTTGCATGTTTTCATAATGTGAAAACATTAGACAGATGTGGGGTTTTATTTGTATGTTGCCTCAAGTTGTCCAACCAACTCAAGATGAAGTACATTTATTGAAAACAGCAATAAACCACAATTTCTTTATACATGTATTTAATTGGGGTCATATTTTGCATGACCTTAAAGCAATGAAATTCCTGCTTTCAGTTAATGGGTATTTTTCTTCCTCTTCTACTGAACTGAATTACTGAGATCTGGAGCTATCTGAAATAACACCAGTTTATGTGTGTGATATATTTTGCTTTTCCTTATCAGGTTATTTGAAAGGAGGAAAAACCATGACAGCATCAGCTGTTCTCAGCATTGGTGTAGAAGAGAACCTACTTGTACAAGCCTGGAGAAATAAAAGTGTAGACCAAGCAGCATGGGATAGAAGGCTGGCATTAATGAAAGGGAATCCATGATGATAAGAATATGAGACTAATGGTTTAATTTGCCATCTTTCTCCCCCCCTAAAACTGTTGTACAACGTAGACTCCAGCAGCGATTGTGGTGGCGGCGACAGAACAAATCTGCGTCTGGGATGAAACAGTACAGAGCCACAGTGTGGGTTGTTTGGTTTTTCTTAGTGTGCCATGCGAACGTAACCACTGTAGTTTGTCAGTAATGATGTATGGCTTAACCAAGAACCCCTAATTTGAATTCAGACAATTAAGCAAAGCCGTGGAAGATTATTTCAATATATAATTATTGCGGTGAGATGGCTATACGCAGAGAGATGGAAAGACACTACCCACTATGGGGGAATGGTTGGTGAAATTGATAGATTTTGCTGAAATGGATAAATTACTTCTTTGATCAGAGAAAAGACCATATTTACGATGATTGCTGAGCTAAGTTGAGGAATCCAGCTTGAGGGTGGGGGGAGTTCATGCTGAGCAAAAGGTGTTGGGAGGAACTGTTAAACGAAGAGCAGTAAGAATGTAATCTTGAATTCCTCTGCCTTTGTCAGTCCTTTTTATATAATACTGAAGCTTGATAATTGCTGTTTATATCTCCCTGTACTAACATTACACTAGTTTCTGACTTTGCAAACCTTTATATATTTAAATAAAAGCAATAAGCATGTATTAAAGAGCAGTAAAGTTTATTTTATATGCAAGTGTTCATGGTGTTCTTCATTACTTCGACTATCACTCATTTTAGTGCCATTACAGAAAATAGTTCCCTAATGTTTTGTTTTTCATGATCACCGACTTGGCCAAAGTTGGGAATTTATTACCCCAACTTACATGTTATTAGATTTCTGGACATTCTGAGCAGCTTACGGTATTGGTATCAAGATTAAAACAAAAATTTATAATCTGATGTCCCACCATTGGAAGTAGTGTGATGTTACTGTTCCCCCAAATGCCTGAAGTTGTTTTTATGGCTGTCTGAAACTCTCAAGAAGGGGGTGATCAGGATATTAGAAATAACGCCATTCCAAAGGAGCGATCTCTAAATTTATCGTTGTTTGCAATTTTTAGCTTGCTTATTGAGGGTAGCTGGAAGTTCATGTATTGATATTTCAATGTTTTCCTGGCACGTCACTTAGCATTTGAAATGTCCCTGACCCTGTTGCTTGAAAGTGTGCTCTGAAACTTCACGTGCTGTGAACAGCTTCCCGCGTATAAACTAACTGTTTATAAACTAATTTGTTAACTAATTAACAAATCTTTTGAGGATGAAGTGAGTTTTTAGAAGGGACATAATCTGATTAATTGTATTGTTGACTTGCTCTTCCTCCAAGGATTATAAGCAAGGTATGTAAGCCTTTTTTCCAGTGATGTAGCAACCCTGTGAGATGGGCGATAGGGCCAGATTGTGGTAGATGTTACGTGCAAGACTAACCAGTTTCCCAAAAGTTACTCATCAAACCACCCTGCTTCTATCTCTTCAAATACCAGTTGTAACTTAGGTGTAAGCTGCAGACGTTGGAGTCTGCTGCTATAAAATGATTTCCAAGGCCACCCCTGCGTATCCAATGAATTGGAGCTTATACGAGTTCCCAAGTGCTTTTCAGGGTTAACACACTATTACAAGTAAGCGCTTTGATTTTCCCCTTGAAGTACCAGATGGATGAGCCCAGTTTTCATCTGGTCCAGTGAGACATTTCCCCCATTTTTTGTAGGGAAAATTAAATACAGTAATGGCAAAAAAGCTTGCCGAGAATTATCGCACAGGAAGGCAGTGACCTTGGGGGCAGTTTATACCCAGAGTGCAAACATCCAGGAGTGCAATTGTGAGGCTGAATTGGACCTTGACTTGAATCTCCTGGAAGTCGAGAGGCTCCTGGATGGACACGGATTGTGCGGGTTGGAGAGGGAAAGTAAAGCAGAAGTACCGAGGTTGCAAAGACGTGGTAAGCTGGCTGTCTTCACGCCGTGCGCTTTTCCTGATTACTAGCCAAGGTCTAGGTTTGCATAATACGTTGCAGTGATTCTCAACCTCGGCCACTTTAAGATGTGTGGACTTCAACTCCCAGAATTCCCCAGCCAGCATCGCTGGCTGGG